CATTCGCCAAGGTACAGGATAGTTCTAGAAAATAGGTGGTGCCATACCAGTCACGTGACCTCAATGACGCAACAATGCCTTGGAAAGAGTGCAAAGAAGAGCCACAAACCTGGTTCCTGAGCTAAAGGATAAAGCATATGAAAAGAGACTGAAGAGATTAAATCTAACTACATTGGAGGAGAGGAGTTATAGAGGAGACATAATAGAGACCTTTAAGATTATCAAGGGATTTGAAAATATAAATGCTGAGAAATGATTTGTAATGAATCCAATATACAAAAACATTGTAATAAAGAAATAAAAAAGAAATTTCTATACACAAAGAGTAGTAAAGAAATGGAATGAAATATTCAATCATGGTAGAGATATTCTGGATGCAACATCAGTGAATGCTTTTAAGAACAAATATGATAAATATAAAGACTGTCAATCTCAAGCATCTAATTGTTAAACAAGGAAATAAGTATAAATAGTGATAAACTCTAAATTGTTATTTGCAGAGAGGCAGACAACAAGCAATAATAAGTGCACTCAAACTCGCTTTTTATTATTGTGAATGAACGTGAATTTTATTTCCCACATTCCTCTTAAATTTTACATTTCAGGTTTCAAATCAGATTTGTAAAATATAGCATTTCAAACATATCTCTTGCTTCTCATAAGTCAATTCCCTATGAGTTTTTTCATTTAATAATAGAACTTGTCAGTTGGTCTGGAAGATGGGAGACAAAAGTCCATTTGAAATACTATTTGTATGTGCAGTATAATAAATTTCAAAGTTGTAGTTTAAATGCTAAAAGCTGGTAGCCTTGAAAACCTATAGGTGCTAATTTGAAGCTAAAAATGGACAAATTAATGATGGCTTCAATGTGGAAGCAGTACTTCTGGAGGTATAACACCCACCTCATGATTCTCGCACTGTCAATTTTACACTTCTGAATGTATGCAAGTGGCTGATGGTCCATCTAGATGATGAATTCCTTCCTTTAAAAGTAGTTCTGGAATTTCCAAGCAGCAAATATGATGGCTACAAACACTCATTTAATCATAGAGTGGTTTTCTCACTACTCAACAGCTTTTTACTGACATACATTAGTGGAAACAGTCTGTCTTTATGTTCTTGGAGAAGTACTGCTCCAATTCTAATGTCTGATGCATTGGCCTTAACAATGAACAGGCTGTTGAAGTCTGGCATTTTAAGGATTGGTGAGCTTTCTAACATTGGACTTCTCTATAATTTTGCATATTATGGTTTTAATGTATTTATTTTAACTTATCCTTTCTTGATATCCTAACATATTGGGTCATTGTGGTGCATAAGAAATAAATACAATTTGGGGCAACTTTGTTGATATCTCACAGGGATTGTTTTTTCTTACATAAAATATTTTCAGTTCCTTGATAAGCCCTCTTTATTCTAATCCCTAACAAATTATGCAGTCACCTACATAAATATTTCATAATAAAATATAATTTGTTGTATGTAATGTTTCTAATTTAACTTTCAGATCTCATGTATTTTATGAATAAAATCTGCTTATAAACATTAACTTCAAGAACTGAAATAGTATCCTTCTAAATTGGCATGTTACAGTTTTGCTAGTAAAAGATCAAGCAGATTGAGTTTTAGTTAGTTAAAGTCAGAAGTGATACAACTATTTGAATATAAAAAATAATTTTATTAAATTGTATCTTCTAAACAGTGAATGGAAGCTGGACTGTGTGGAGTGAATGGAGCGAATGCACCTACACTTGTGGACTGGGAACACATTACCGAGATCGAAGCTGTTCTGACCCTGCTCCACAGGGCACAGGGAATCTATGTGAAGGCCAAGCTACAGAAGTGTCACATTGTTTTGAAACACCCTGTTTTGGTAAGATATGTACCTGTTTTGATACTTAATTTTAATTTTTTTTCACACTATGTTCTAAAGGGAAGTTACACAATGACAGATTTAACTGTTTTTGCAGGATAACATGTTTGTACTTTATTAGTCTATGGATACATGTACTTGAACAAGGAAGCAAATTATATTAATATAATAATAGGTAGGCAAATAATAATTTATAAGCATAGGAAAAAGTCTTATTAATGGTTGAAAATGAACATATGTTTCAACAGAACATTGGTCTGTCTTCTTCAGGTATGATCAGTACTAAGCAATCCAAGGTTTATATATCGTTACAAAGACATTAGGGATTAAATGTGATGGAAATGGTGTCAGCAGGTGACAGGATATTGGTAGGGGTCAAGTGTATGAATGGTGATAAGATCTTGCCAAATATGGCTGATGTTGTTGGGGCCATTATCACGGTTTAGTAAGAGGTCAGTTGTTTTGATGATTTCTATAGTTTCTAAACAGTCTTCTTATTTTAGTTTTGGGTTAGTGTAGGAAAAGAATTTCGTTCCAAAGTAATTTGTGACTTGTTTCATTTTTTATGATAAGTGAAGGTGGAATACTGGAAATCATCTCTATGCATGTAACTTGGTGTTCTTTGCATTTTGTTTCTAAGGAATGTGATGTTTGTCCCATGTATTTCTTTCCACATTCACATGGGATACTGTATATGCTCTGTTTTTGTTCTTTTAATAAGGATTCTTTCAGATTAGGTAGTGAGATGCTAAATTTATGTGAGGGTTTTAATACAGTTTTTACATCAATGCTCAAATTATTAAAATGTCTAGTAATTTCTGGCACAAAAGGGAATTAAATAAATTTGTTATGTTTTGTGTTGTTTACATGTATGTATGCAAAACTCATATCTCATTCTTCTTTAATGTACCCTTCACATTCACAAAAGTTTTAAATTTTTCTAAAGTTCTAATAGTAAACATACTAAAACTGGATTTAGGTCTTATACTAAATTCAGCTCTAGGTGTTCCTTACTATAGCAGGGTCTGATCTTGGAAGTTTTCTACTCATTCATGAGATTTTACCTTGTGTTTGCAGAACTGCTCAATAGCTGTCAAATGAAGAGTAGAAAGAGGAAATTAATTGTAAATGTAGCTTGGCATTTTCACATAGATTTGTTTCCTGTTTTGAAGAATCACAATTTGGTACTGAAGTCTCATCATTGTTTCAGCCTTTTTAACTTGTTGATTGTGTATGTGTGCCAACCTCTTTTATTTCAAAATGTTTGTTATCAAGGTTTAATTTTTTATTTAAATAGTTTCCTTTCATTTACTTCTTGTTTCAATACAGTTTATTCCATTTTTTGTTTTCTAATTTTAATTACAAAACAATAGACTTGCATAATGGATGATTCTATTTCACCTTCTGTTGTCTTCATAAATAGAATTCATTTTTAGCAAAACTTCACATCTTTTTTTTTTTTTCACTTTCAACAAATCACAAGTTGTCTTTCCATGTACTAGACCCACAAATCTCTAATTGTTAAGACAGGTAAATATGTAAGTTTATCATTGGATTACTTTCTGGTATAGGTTTGTGAAAATAGTCTGAGAACCATTTTTTGTAGTCAATATTATTATTCACTGAGTGTGATGGTAGTCAATAGGAAAGGTTCAAATTAAACCATTTAATGTAAATTCCCAGATGATTCTTCATCACCACACGTAGAATAGCTTGATCCTCATATGTATGCCTATTCCTTGCATACTTGACTCTTTTGTCCTAACTTACAGCCATTTTTTATTTCTGTTCCTAGATTCTCAGTCTTTGGAATCTCTTTTACCTGCTTAGGGGCAGACCCTTTACTTCTGTTTTACTTTGTACTGCCCAATTTCCATGCCTTGGCCTCTTTTATTACCACCCTCCTACTTTACCTCTCATCCCTTTCCCAACACTAGTTTCCCATTCTTCTTGAACTGGAACATGGGAGACCATTGACATTTCCCATTTCCTAGCAACTAATGTAATGGTCTGTTGAGAGTTCCCCACTGATTGTATACAGCATAATACAATGGGAAGTAGGGTTTTAGTTTGTTTAGTGTGGGTCCCCCCCCCCTCAAACAGAGTGCTTTCCTCTTACAGCAGAACAGGTTCTTCACTCCAGTCTCTGTCTGGTTGAGTTGAGGTGAGACACAAACAGTATGGTAGTGATGTGCTTACCTGCCCAGCAAATCAAGTACTGCTTGGTTAGTTAAAATTGGTTTTGTGTCCATTAATATAAATGGTATTGAATTCCCAAAACTTAAAATAAAAATATTACGTTTCATACATTTAAATGTATTCCTCATAGATAAAAAAAATCAACTCTTTGGCAATACAAAGAGAACCCACACCAACACTCCCCCTCCATCACTGACTTTACCAGCGATTATTGAGAATGAGACATGAGTCACACTTTACATTTAAGTGAAGCAGTGATTGTTCTACTTGGTGGTTGCCATGGGAATGAGATGTCATTAGGTCAAGCAACAAATAAGAACCTTACCTGGTCAGTCACAAACCAAGCTTTTCTCAAGGAGCATGGTCTGATCTTTTTATTGTATATTCAACATGCTTTGAGTGAATTACAGTTTTATTTTGGACATCACTTGTTGGTTTTGTGTTACTTTAATTTCTTTTTAATTTAAAAGAATTATAAAAAATGAAAGTTTAATCATAATAATTAATTAAATGCATCTTTGTAGATGTATTTTTGGTTCCACTAGCTTCTGCATGCCATATCCCCCACCTCAACTCCCTATGTGTCATTTTGGTTAAGAAATGTCACTGCAATGTGGGTAGATTGCACCCTAACCACATTACAATTGTTGGCTCACTGACCAATTGTTTGCAGGTGCTTAGTTGGTCATGCAAATTATTCTGCTCATCTCTACAAGACTTAGGACTTTTTTGCTTTTCCCCCTCTTTCTTTCTTTCTTCCTAACAAAGAATATACCCTGGTTGAGACAAGATGCAATCTCCCACAAATGTGCCCCTGCCATTGTGTGTCACACTCCATAGGCATTTCCTTCAGACACATTTGGAAGGGAGCTGTGTAGAAAGTAACATTTTCCTTACCTGAAAATGTGTTTCCAACAGATAGTCACCTCTTCACATCTTCCCACCCATCCTCCCCACTTCTGGTGCACTTTCTTCTTGCCTTGCCCAAGAATGAAGTTATTTTGACCACAAGTGCTTAAGGGTAGTTAATGTGCAAGAAGGTTGTGTTGCCCTCCTATAGATGTAGGGCCATTGTTGCATGATGATGTCATCATGCATTAGTGCAGTTCATGTTAAACATATGATTTTTAGGTGGGAGTTAGCTCAAGGCTATTGGCAGACAAATTTATGAGAGATCGTGCTATTCTATGTGAAGAGATGAGTATCAATTGGAAATACATTTTCAGTTTTCTGGTAAGGAAAGGTTTAACATTTCAATTAAGTTTTCTAAATGTTGTATGAGTACGAGACTCATGTACTAGGAAATGTTAACAAAACATGCTGTCTTAATGCATTTCAAATATTTAAAAATTATAAGTTCTGAGAACAATCTTTTTGTATTTATCATAATCAATATGTTACATATAGACTACAAAAATAGTTTTAATATAATTATTCTGTTTTCTAGATTAATTGAGTGGTGTATGATAGGAATATATAGTTCACAGAAATGTAAGAGATTTTATATACTTCTTATTTTACTATTCATTCACTTGGATAAATTTTCAATCATAATGTTCAGAAGTGTAATATTAAAGCATTCTTTTTAACTCCAAAGTTTAGTAAAATTTTAATTGTGTTGATTAATTCTCACTGAAGTATAAAATATCTCAGAAAAAAAATAGAATATATAATTATGCAGAGGTTTCTTCATTTAAAGACAAGTAACTTTATTTTTCTTAGAAAAGCAACAAGTTGCTGTTTTTGAAGGAATTAGCTTTCTCTTCTATCCTCGGGCTGCTATTCCAACAACAGTTTTAGAGATTTATGCAAGAGTTAAGCCAAAATCAACGAGTGGCACTATAGTATCACGTTATACACCATCTTGTAATTACATAAACTGTACCAACACTGTGGAACTAGTTCTCCTCAGAGGAACAGCTGTCTTGAAAGCTACAGTTGAAAAGGCTAGCTTAGAAGTTAAAGGAGGTACCAATCTGCAGGTAAAGTGAAATTGGTCTCTAGTTTTCAGTTTTTTTTTTATATAAATATGTAATACATTTTTTTTTTTCAAAATAGTTTTTTAAAATTTAATTCAGAAAATATTGATCTGAAAATACATTTAATGATAAAGTTCAAATAAAGTAAATACATTTCATTTGTCATTACATGCAGAATTGATACTATTACATTGATATTTCTAGTTTTGGAGCATATAATTGGAAAAAGCTTTTAGATTAAGTTTGCATTTTAAATACAATTTATTTTTTGTTTCTATGAGTTAACAACTCTTCTATTTGTACCAGTGCACAGATAGCATAAAAATAAACTTTCTTTAGAAGAATTTACTTGGAAGAAGTTTTTAACTAATCATATAACTAGGTCTATAAAATCTGTAACTTATAATTTCACAGTTTGGCCATTAAGAAAGGAATGGCAGAACTCTTGAATTATGCCAATTTGCTTAACTCATAACTTATTTATTATTATATTTTTAGAAAACCAAATTAAATTTTTAACTCAAGAACCATTAGTGTTACCTTAGTTTGTAATTCTAGAAATATTTTTACAGTGATATAACTGAGACCAGATGGTACTTAAACCCACAACTCATCTAACTTATATGAAAGCTAGTGTGTGTCCCGTCACTTTAGATTTCTTGAAATAGGAGGAGTCATAAAAGCCAAAATGCATTTATCCAGATAGAATAGTTTATTACTATCTGCCCATTACGATTTTAGTGATGGGGGTACAAGAGGGCTGAGAGGGTATGTGTGCTGTTCACATTATAAGTGTAGTGAGTGTTGGTATGATTTAAATAAATAAATAAATAAGCCTAAAGTAAAAATGTATAGTTGGATCACGTAACCTAGAGCCAAGTGCATACATTTTGTCATGAAAATAAAAATATCAATTCAATTTGAAACTTAAATCGTTTCTGAATTAAGCTATTTTCTGTTATATTAACAAAAATAAAAACAAACCACTTTAATCAACAGAGACTCTAAGTTAATAAATCAACAAATATTTTTCCAGTTTTTTTGTCTATACATTTCATTTTATCATTTCAGTACATAGACTAACATCATCATTATTAGGATATACTAAGCAACATGACATAAAAGCCATTGTTGGAACTTAGTGTTACCAAAATGTGCTTGCTTTTCTATATATTAGAAGTTGTTAACCTAACTGATTTTTATCAATGATTATTATATGAATATGCCACGAATTCATTTCAGAATGATCTAAATTTCGGTTGGCTCATAAAGGAATTTACTGACAATTGATTGCCTCGACTGCACTTTTCTGCCTCTTTGTTGGTCAAGCTTGATTTGGCAAAAGTTATTTATTTAAGTTAGCTATTAAATGTGAGGTTAGGGTATATTTTGGGGTTGGAGTGGTAGTTCTTGCCCTATCATTTTCAATGGGCTATACACTAATATTTTCATAAATCTCAGTTCTCTACATTAGTTTGTAAAGATGAAATGAAGCATTTTTAAGAAACCTATTTTGAAATCTGTGTTGAAGTTGCTATTATGAATAAATTGTGTTTTTGTTGTTGAACCCTGATTGTAGTGGCATGTTTGTTTTAGACCATTACAACCCAGTAATCACAATTTTGTGCTTGTGTTACGTCATTTTCATTATATGACATATACATTTCTGAGGTGTCACAGGTACCACATTTTGAAGACATAACTGAGATATTATATATAACACTCACTATGCTGCAGCACAAGCTATATATACATTACAGAGCAATACTACACTCTTCACTCATGCCAGTTTTTCTAACTGAAAGGTAAACATTAAATTTTGTTTTCTTTCAACATTTAAACTTTGTAAATCAGTTTCAGTATGAGAAGTACTTTTTGTAATGCCATAGAATTGCAGAAACATTTAAATAGGGCTGTTTGACCATTTATAAATTTAATAATTTCGAAACTCCTTATACATGGGTGATAATGAATCAATTGCACACTGAGGTTTCACTAATCATCAAATTCCTAAGTGAATTTAAAAGAATGCTTGATAACTCTGAAGGTTATTTTCTTTATTTAATAGTTTTAGTTTAGTTAAGAGGATGGGACAGCCTAGGTGAACAAATAGATCCCTTGTTGTCCCAAAATGTTATGTTATAATATATATGAGGTAATGCATTTGAGTTATCATAATTTTTATCACACATTCAATGCACATGGAAATTACTCAACAGCATGACAAAACAAAAGGAGTTTAACACAATGAAGGTTAAGCCACTCAAGCTGAGGCAGTTTCCTGCTGCTAGCAGAAAAACTAGGGCTGTTAACAAAGGCTAAATTTTGACCTTCAAAGGTTCAGTAGTACAAATTTACAAGATATATGGATGATGTCACCATTACTATTTGTTTATGTTTGGTTGAAAACCCTTTAATTTTATGGGTAATCTATGTAAATAAAATAAAACATTTGCATGTAATTTAAAAGTATGTTATAAAGAAGTGTAATCATCTTTTTATATTTTAAATAAGACGTAGACATTGTTTATGTACATTTATTGGATCCATGTGCAATACTCATATACCTATATGTAGTAAGATTTCATTACAACAGCACTTTACTGCAGCCAAATAAAAGAGCTGCAGCTAACTTTTAAAAGCAAAACAAATATTTACTTAATAGTCACCATTTCAAGCAGGCTAACAGACACAGTCATTTTAACATAAAATTGTTTATTAACTAAACATACCTATGAACATAATAAATAAACATCAAACAGAACAGTTTGACATTAACATTTCAATTAGAAAATAAATATGAACTTTCAACTGTATAAAAAATTACAAGAGGCAGTGCTATTATCACTCATATTTTTTTGTTGACAAAACTGTTGATTACTTAAGCATACACCTTGGCTAAAGCTATCAGCCAAATGAATAAATAATTATAAATAAAGAGAACAACAGAACAGAGTAATAGCAACACTTTTGTTAGAAAATAAATATGGACCTTCAACTATAAGAAAAAGTTACACAAAAGACAGTGCAGCTGTGGAAAGTATCCTTTGTTTAAAGTAACACTTTTTTACCTTTTGTACACTAGGTATTCTGTACATTCTCAAGAACCAATACAGACACTAATTTGATCTACTGTGTATCTGTGAAGTTAACATAGTAATATATGTTATGATTCTGAATTTCTGTATGTATCTTTACAGCACTTGGCAAGCTTTTAATAAACATTACAAGCCATTATACATAAAAAATTAAATTTGCTGAGTTAATCTGAGTGAAAGTTGATATTCATGTTGAAAAAAATATTTTTTTTTCATACTTTCATCTTACACTTTATTTCATTTACATAACATCTAGAACCTCCTAAATGAATGTCAAGCCTTTCAGTAAAGCTTTATACTGTATATGTTATTTTCTCTAACATAACACTAACTATAATGAAATCATCAAAATACCGTGAAACAACAGTTTGAAAAATATGAATTCAAATTAAAAATTGCAATAGTTATTCTCAATTATTTATTCTAATAGCCTCAGCTTCTAACCTTTCTGCATCTACTTTCATTTTATTTTATGGTTTTATTATACTTTGAACCCCCTATCAGTATGTGAAATTTACAATATCTGCTTCCTTGATATTTTGCAATAATTATGAGTTTACTTTTCTACAGCTTTAATTTACAGAGTTCATGGTAATTTGTACAGTTTAGACTCAAACTTAACAAAGCAAAAAGAAAATGTAGTGTTTCGTAAGATGTAGCATATTTAAACATAAGTTACAATTTGTCAACCTGGGTAATGTTGAGGTCTCAATAAAGACTTGGAAATTCTGTTCAGCACTGTTCCAGTTCTTTATAAAACAGTAATGAAAACT